TTTCCAAAGCACTCTTCTACATGCAGCTTTTCAGAGTATGCTGCTCAATAGTAACTTGTTTGTTACTATTACTGTATTTGATACTAAAAATTTTTATTCAGCTATTTCTCCTGTTAGAAAGAAGGAAATAAGTCAAAAAAGAGGACGAAGAAATGTTACAGAGATCACTTACCCATGCTGTCAACTAGGCTAAATTCAGATGATAGTTTCTATTCTACCAGTGAAATAGGCAAAGTCTAATTTTATGGTTTAGGTATATTTGTGTTCTCACTTAAAGGCATTTTTAATCTTCATTGCTTTGGATATTAAGGCTACATTCACGACTACAGAAACAGACACAGCCTCATTGAGATAATATTTTCTTACACTCACTATAAATCTGCTTTGTATCTTCACACTTAATGGACTACCAAAGAACCTGAAAAGAGTTCAAACTGAAAGAACCGTCTGTGTGTGTTCACGGGAAGCAGGGTGTTTGTGAACATGCAGCTGATGCAACCCTTCAGAACTCACTCTTGCCTAAAACCTTAGCCTTGGCTAGCTGCTGATGAATGGCAGGATACAGTTCTTTGTTAGAGTCTCACTGCCATTACTCAAACTCTTATGCAACATCTCTGGTCTTCTAAATTGCTTTCCTACATAGATGGAAGTAATTTTTTGGTATTTCTAAATCTTAGCCTTGTACTAATTTATTTTTAAGATCTGGAGACCCCATTTATTACACTCATAGGAGACAAATACCAGAAGTTTGTGTTTGGGTGAATGTAAACCTTAATTTTTCTAGAAAACAAGTATGAACTTGTGTTTAGAGACCAGCTAAGCAGAAGGCTGAACCAGTACATTCAGCGGTGTTGCTCTGCCCTCTACAGACTAGATTATATAATCACATTTTACCCAGAGCGTTACATTATCTCTAAAGGGCATTGCTCTTCAACACAGTGGAATAAAGGTCATCAATGTGAATTATAAACATACACAGGAGCTACCTTCTAATAGCATGCTGTAAGAAGTCGTAAGTAAGATTAAATAAGACGTACTTCCGAGTTAATGTGTGTTTTCTGTGTGTTCTAACCACGTCCACGTTGCCCACTAAATCTGGAAAGTAGTAATTGCTTCAATAGTCACAGCACCTGGAGTCCAAATTCAAAGGGATATATTTATAGCTATTACTCTAATGTATGCTATGCAGCATTTCTGCATGCTGGAGAAACAAGATCTGTTTCAATTCAAGTATGTAGAGCAACTTCTTCCTGGTACTAAGAACAGTTTTCTACAGCAAGATCCAGGGCAAAGGAAAAGTTCTGATTCCTTGATTGATCTCCCACTTTTAAGTGGCAAGTATGAAGCGTGTGATAACCTGTCTTGACCAAGGTACAAAAGTATCAGCATCCCACCCTGCCAGAAGTTTAGCTATATGCTACCTCCCACAACAACTGGCTCCACCTTTTATCCTAGGAAAATGTCAAAGAACAGGATTTGCATTTGAGAAGATCATTTCAAATGCCTCCTGTGGAGAAATGTTGTCCTCTTACTTTCAATACCATGGGACCAACGCCCACAAATGTGTATCCACTTCTGTGAACTCTAATTTAACATACTGTCTTCATGTTATCTGAGAAAGAAAATTAAAGTTCATTTACTTTGCAAGTATTTGCTACATCCTCACTGATTTGGGAAAACAACTAAGCACTTACCGTTTCTCATAAGCTGGACAATTCTAACATTTTTGTTTTAAGGTCATTTCATAACCCTTCCACCAGAGAAAATACGTTCCTAAATCATTTTTATAAAGCTTTTCTTGAACAGGAACAGCATAGCAGGGTCTCAGTTTAGAAGGCACATAATTCACATTTCTTCCAACTTTTCATTTTATACGACTGTTTGTATTTGAAAAATACTTTCCTTGATGCACACATGTCAAGTCCCAGGCATAATATGTGACCTTCCCAACTGATCAGCACCTGACACCCCTGTAGCTCCATCCCCCACAGGCAGGCCTGTCCTCAGTCATCAGGTAGCACACAACAGGGAACACTGGCTGGGCCCTGTGCAAAAGGAGCCTGGCAGGAAGAAAAATTTGCCCGGGGAGCTCCCAGCGTAGTCCCTCCACTATTGTGTGACTACCACATGCACTGGTTATGTGACCCAAAGACTCACATGTCAGGAAACAAGAGAAGTGAGCAGTCTTTCAACAAGGGGCAGCTTTCAGTGCCTAGCATTGTCAGAATGCCTTCAGTACAATACTGAGATGAGTGCTCAGAAAAAAAAAATCTTTATTCATTTTTACACAATACAGAGCTTGCAATATGTAATGCTGTTGCGCTTCTGTAAGTAAAGTTTTATGGCAGATCAATATCCTTAACAATTAGTCTCCTGAGCTATATACACATTCTGAGTTGGACATATTTTGCAGGAACACAAGTGAGATACTCAGTTAGAACAGCACATCAAAATTTGATAAAGAAAAGCTATTAAAAAGTATTATGTACATCAGAATTTGATTCCTATCCAGAGGTATTGCAGGAACACTGCTTTAGAAGACAAGATATTGGTGTGGCATTAAATCACTGATTATATTTCCCAGTGAACGCTTTTGTGTGGACTCATTTTGTCATACTTCATTGTCTCTGTTTTGTTGAGGGATCTGCTACGCGGTAATGCTGCAGGCTAGAAAATTTTCAAACACATCACTCAAGCAAAATGAAAGTCTTAAATTTTCATCATGCCCATTTCACACACAGAAATGGCATTATTTCTTCCAGAGCAAAAACTGGAGGAAAACAAAGGTCACATTTATACTTAGCAAAACTGTTCTGCAGTACTTCTGCTGGACAACAGCTGAATGGCATTCCTATACAAAATTCTTTATATAATCCCTGCTATCTCAGATAACTGACAAGGAAGTATCACTTAAGGACGAGGCTACATACTGAAATCCATGTGCAATCTTGCAATATCGTCATCAAATGAAAGTTCAAGCTCCAATTTCAGCTTTTTTTACGCTCTTTTTCATTTGAGGACTTTGCAGTGGTTTGTAACATGTTAACACTGAAGAAAACACAGGTAGGGAAATCTAATAATTCTTAATACCACTCCTCTTTCCCACAGGAAAATTATTTTTAATGACATCATAGTAACTTTTCTCAGATCTAGAAATATGCTAAATTCTGTAATGAAAGATAATGCAAGAAGCACTATTTCTACACATCTTTAACTTCACTTAGACAAGGAACTATCGTATCCTACCATTCTGATCAAGGTCAGAAACAAGTAACTACACTTGAATAAACACAGTGATTGCAGGGAAATGCTCAGGTTTCCACACACATCTACAGAAGAGACCATCTTCTAAATTTTGAGTGCTTGGAGGTGCAATCTTAAGGGTGTTATCGACATAATCACCTGATAACAATCTCTATCCAGAAACAATACTGTTTCTACGCTTCTCTAGACTAACAGAAGACTAAGGATGAGGTGACCTCTGAGAATTGTTGACTGATATTATCAATATATAGTTGTGTCAATTCTACACGATCAGACCTTCTGTCTCAATTCCTCCCTAGCCTCTATTTTCAACTGATGTAAGCTTTCTGCCTTCTTGTCATCAAATCACCAGAATAGATGTCTTGAACTTTTGTTTCCACGTTTTCCTCACATCTACAGAAGAGACCATCTTCTAAATTTTGAGTGCTTGGAGGTGCAATCTTAAGGGTGTTATCGACATAATCACCTGATAACAATCTCTATCCAGAAACAATACTGTTTCTACGCTTCTCTAGACTAACAGAAGACTAAGGATGAGGTGACCTCTGAGAATTGTTGACTGATATTATCAATATATAGTTGTGTCAATTCTACACGATCAGACCTTCTGTCTCAATTCCTCCCTAGCCTCTATTTTCAACTGATGTAAGCTTTCTGCCTTCTTGTCATCAAATCACCAGAATAGATGTCTTGAACTTTTGTTTCCACGTTTTCCTCCACACACTTGGCAGTGTAAACTGTTCCGGGGGGGGGGGGGGGGGGTGACTACTCCTGTCTGTTTAAAACAGGGTACAGGAGACATGCACCTTTGTCAAGTGACATGGCATCTGAAAACTTCATAAGACTTGGTGTTATGAACTGAGATGGGTTTTTGGATTTTCCCTTTCTCCTGCTCACAAGTTGTAAGCCTATCTTGTCCCCTGCATTATGGCACAAGTTTGAGTGGAAATCCAGGCCAAAACTGCATCTCATGGCTACTTGCTCATCACAGTCTCAAAAGACTTTGGAACAGGAGAGCCAAAGATGTTACTAAAATGCATTTTTCTTCAAGATGAAGAATGGCAAGTAGGTTTCTTCTTCTGCAGTGCTTGTTACTCAATTACATACTACTGTTGTGTTCTTCTCTTACTATCAGCTCTGATGTTTTCTGGGAATGAAAATCACTCAGGTCCGCCTGAGGAAAACGCAGGAACACTTACTGCTTACAATCCACACAGGTATCTCTTCATAACGGGCAGCAGTTGTAACTTCAGCCTGAAACTACAATTGCACTGAAGACAACAAATTACACCAAATATGTCTGTGTCACTATGTCAGGAGAAACTGAAGTTCTTCTCCAAAGCCACCTGCCATGTTCCTCTCCGTACCTACTAGTAAGGCCCCTGGAATGTGTACTCTAGAGCACCACAGTGCTGTGTACTTGTGCACTGCCAGGCCTCCCCGGCACGCTCTAGGACCTCCACAGGCTCTGTGCAAACACTCACCCAAGCGGAAGGTGCGTGGGATGCAGGGTACGTTATGCCTCTGGCCATTACCAGGACCTGCTCTTTCAGAGACAAGGCTGCTGATTCAATAGATGACTTCCATAAGAAAGACCATGTAATTGCCTTGGAAAGGCTCAGGAGGAGAACATGATTGGTCATGCACAGATTAGGGCAGGTAGCAAAATTTCATAAAAACAGAAATGGGTCTGTACAAATGGAATTGCACAAAGCAAGTCATTTTGAACTTATCTGTACAGTATCATATACTACACAGCAAAAATACTAACAGGTTCCTTATTCCTTTTTTTTTTTTTTTTTTAAGTAACATCTCATTTTGAAATGTTCCCATTGTCTCTCTTTGGAACTTGGGACATTTTTCAATGTAACAACTTCCAGGACTGGTAACCCCTTCCTTTTCCCTGAAAAATACAAAACCAACTCCTGTCTTATTTATAAGTAATTAGTGGAAAGGAAGAAGCTAGTAACCAAAGTGATTCACCAAGTAATATGATACTGGAAGTAGTTTTATGACATTACTGGGGAAGGAGTATGTGTTGAAACAGGACAGCTATCCTTTCTGAATATGCAGTATTTTGAAGTGAAGTTATGTAAATTGAAAAAAATTCCAAATATGAAAGTCAGTGAGGATATATTTTTCTCATTCTTAAAGTCTGAGGTTTTTTTTTCTTGAAAATATTGGTGGAACAGAACCATATACTCCTCAGAATATTTTTTAAAGTGCACAGTATTGTTCAATAACCTGTTCACCTCTTGCAGTGAAGGCTGAAGAGAAGCCCAGAATTTGCCTGTGACAAAGGTCCAGTCAACTTTAACAGAAAGTCCTTGCTTGGTAGAAAAAGTTTTCAAGAAAGAAACACATAGAAGGCAGTAGGAACTAGGAAGGAAATTTCCAGCACCTGCAGTTCTTGGCTACTGGTGGGCAACAAAAAGTAAAGTTTTCGGGTGTGCCTAAATCTTTGCAGTGAGAGCTGATCTTGCAGCAATCTTTTAGGAGATCTATGTCTGTTGACAGCTATGGGAAAAGTGGAACATTAATATTAATTTCTATATAGAAATTCATGTGCTTGTGTTGTGGCTGCATCTCAGCCCATCATTTTGTCTGGAGTCCCAGATTTTGCAGATGTGGGAAACAAGGCTCTCTGCTGGATATGAGGAACACAGCCAAAGTGCTGATATTCTTCAACTCTTTGCCCCATAAGTCCATTAACTTCCTCTTCCTTTCCTTAACACCACAGAATGTGAGCTTTAAGCCCATTTACTCTCTAGAAAGCCTCCAAATCGGTTGCTTCTTCTAACAATTCAACTCCCTATATGGTTTGCAAGACAATTAAAGTGAAAAAAAGTTTTCAGTTTGAACTCTGCATGTTATAATCTATTTCTGTATTTAAGTATTCAGGCTCTCATCCATTCTCAGAAAACTGTGTGGGAAACAAACTGAGCTTGTGACCTGTTTTGACATAAAAGTAGCTACAACACACAAGAGGACTTCATTCTGCATGTTTACCACAAACCCATCGAAGCTGCTGGTCTGTTTGGAGGTCAGTCAATTCATCAATGGATCTCCAGCTGCACTGACAAGCATACGCCCGTGATCCTTTCTTCTTTATCATCTTTGCTCTTAGTTTACTGAATTCAGGCATGTTATTCCTGTTAATCAATTGAGTTCAGTTTAAAGTCAGGCATTTCTTTTTAAGCAAAAAGAGTCATGAGGCCATTTCAAATCAGAAACGCTCTTAAGCACATTTTTGAGTACCACTGTCACCAATGAATTAACAGATATGCTTAAATTCTATTTTTGAACAGAATCCTTTTCTGAGAGAAGGTTTTAGTGTATAGTTGCTGTCTTCTCAGGTCAATTGAAGCTTGATGTTTTTGCAGACAAAATTCTCTGTCAATTTTATAGACCCTGCTTCAGCCTCCAAAGAATGAGTTTATTATCTCGTACTAATTTCTTTCACTGCATTGGGTTTTCTATTAATTCAAGATCTCAGAGGCAGAATAATTTAGACTTTGAGTAAATGAAAGAATCATTTTTATTTAATCTTTCTCACTACCAAACTCATCTCAGGAGACTAGTGCAGTGCTGTATTTTTAACCCCACTTTCAATACTGGGAAAAAGGTATTTTATTCAAAGAATTTTGGAAACTGGAGGGAAAACACAGGATAAACCTAATATGTAGTACAAGAAAAATAATGGAAAAGGAGATGATTTATCCATTACTGTTCTATGCCAGCTGTAACACCCCCTGATGGCCAAGCACATCCTCGAAACACATCAACTACCTTGATCAGTGAACGAGAACGTACAGAGACTTCATAAAAACGAGAGGAATTTAAACATGATGTCTGTGTTAGAAGAATGCCTGCTACACTACAGTTCTCTGAAGTCTTGGCATTAGATATGGTTTTAGAGACACTGGAAATAAAAACTCTTTCAATTCAAGTCTTCCAAAAAAAAAAAAAAAAAGAAAAGAAATGAGAAAAGTTAAAGGTGGCACAATATAAAAAGAAAACAAAATCTCACTTCTCCAATTAATCAGACTTCACTTTAAAAAGAAGTCTCTTAAGAAATGAAATGGTGTGAATTTCACCAAACATGTCACACAGACAGCATAATGCTTGATATTGTAAAAAAAGAAAAGCTGACTGAAAACAATTGTAGTGTGTATGAAAGACTGCAAGTTTGGTGAGAAGTATATGCCAGACAAATATTCTTTATTAGATTCTTAGGTATCCTGCAGTAGAACACCAGAGGCCAACCATTCCATAGAGCATCTGTTTATTTCAGCAGTAAAGTTGCCGCTTGATCCTTAAAACCTGAATTCTTTTTAAAAGCAGAGATGTGTATTTAGTCGGGAGAGTGATACGGGGAAAAAGGAGAAAGAATGAAATGTGATTATGGGAGGTGTTGCATCCCTTTACCCACAGACCTTCCCATCCAATCACCAAACAGGTTGCACACATGCTCCTGATTAGACAGCGCAGGAGTGCTCAGGCCTTTTGAACTTTCTCATTCACATCAGGCCCTGAAGCACAGTAACACAACACTAATACCAAACCCACCTGTGACATACCTGAAAAAAAGATAATCACAGGACTGATCCCACATGTAGCCATTGTAAAGTGACACACGGAAGTCACAAGCAGTACACCGTAGCTGATCACATGTTCTGGCCAAAGAAAAAAGAACAAAATCCCCAAGAGTTTATTATATTCAGAGACACTACACAAGAAGAACATCACCATTTTAAAGTACAGCAGAAAGTTCAGAAGGTATAGACCCAGAAATGCCAGAAGTAAGGCTGCCCTGTAATCTTAAATTTTTACATCTCTGGCACATACACTGCGGTATATATTTTAACTACATGATCATGTATCATTTTTACAGGATCCTTACCTCACTGAATACATAAAATAAATTGATGTTCCCTTTTGTCCTGCTCACTGATTTGGTACCTGAACATCAACCAAATACGCATCAAGTGCATAATTACTCATTACAGGAAAATGCTAGATGGAAGTGCAGTAATGTCCTAGAGGATGTTGGAGATGCATCTTTAAAGTGCTTTTCCCACTAAGCTCAGCTGCAGTTAGAAAACACTCTGCCTGTCTTCAGGTCAGGCTCCTGGAAAATATGGCCCACTGATTTAAGTGACATACTCAGCATCACATAGCAAGTTGAAGAGAGGCAGGAAAAAATACAATACCCTATATCAGCAGCTTCCACAAGATACCCTTTTGTTTTTTGCAGTCTATTGCCTCATTTGTACACATCTTTCAACTCCTCACACAAACGAGGCAAAGATTTGGTGGTCAAGAATAGGGAATTGGAAGGGACTAGCTGACTCTAATTGCAGTTACGGGCAGCCACATGTTTAAATGAGTATATAGCTGTTCTGCACAATTCAAACTCGGAATATATGCTGCATCATAACAGAACCACAGTCGTGATAAAAAGAATGCTAACGCAAGTAGAACAATTTTTTTCCTGTTCCCTACCTCTTTGAAATATTTGTTCCTATACCATATGCTGAAGAGCTTCCACCCAGATACACCGGAGAGCACCTATACGGATTTCACAGAAAAATATTAAACTGCAGAAAAAACATTTTGGAGAAAGTAGTATAATACTAAATTAAACTGTCATGTGTCATACTACTCCAAGCACGTGTGTCTTTTCAATAAGATTTTTCTTCTAGCAGTTTACAGGCACGGTATTTCTAAAATAAGAGTTTATTGAACACAGGTAAAGCATCCAAATGCTTACAAACTAGAATTTTAAAATGTCCATTACCAAGGCATTCAAAGAAAAACTCTATGAGAGCCAATCTCTATATCAAATATATGTAAGACTACATACTGCAGCTTTTGATAACTGTATGTGTCCATAAGGCAAGCTGTTCTTCGATAACTATTTAAATTGTAAATAATCTTGACCACATGAGAACATGCTATTAATTCTTCAAAATTAACTTTGTATATTTTATCTTTGCTTTTTCAAAAAAAAAAAAAAGCTTCTCTAAATACTCATTTTCTTTCTTATTTAATTTCAGTATAATTTAAACAGTAGTAATATCTCTTAGACGGATGGCATAATATAATTAAGTTACGTTCAAGTGACGAAAGCATTTTTCACTTACCTTTTCCCATAAGCCTGCATAAAAGGACTATTGCTGTGAGGTGCGATATCTGCAGAGTTATACTTCGATTTCTATTTAAAAAAGTAATCAAGGAGAAAAAGGCAGCATTACAGCAAAATAACTATATTCTGTTTTACTTAATAAGCAAAAGCCAGGAAATCTCAGTAACAGAAGAAGGGGACTGACGAATTGGGAATTTTCTTGCTCAGTTTTCTGTGAGGGTCTTTGAGACAACATCTGCTGAAAAAAGAGATGAACAGATAACAGGAGACTTGGTCCAGGCAGATCTTTCCTCAGATGCAGTGTCTACTTTATAAAGTGTTTCTAGAAAGGAAGAGAGCAGGCTTCTTTTGCAAACAATCTACTTGGATAACAGAAGGAGATAACAGAAGTAGAGTAAATAAACATGACCTAAGATACAAAACTGAAATAAATGTCTTTCATATTTTTCTGGTTCTCGTAGATTCCCAACAACTTTAAAAAAACATAACTATATCATTCCTAAATATGTAAGCTGAGCACTGAAAATTAGTATGCCTATTTAAAAATTGAATGTTGATAGCTAGATCCAGAAAAAGGTCTGCGCTGAAAATGAAATGTGAACAGAATTTAAGTGCATAATATTCATAGACCCTCAGGCTTTTTACCTTCAAACTTTCTGGATGCCTGCAATTATGCTCTATGCATGTTCATAAACTTCTGAAAAATGAGTAATAGTCCAACACCGCGCAATTATGCTCTATGCATGTTCATAAACTTCTCAAAAATGAGTAGTAGTCCAACACCTCTCTAATGTCTTAATTAAGATCCAAAATTTATGGCCTTGTTTGCATGCCTTTTACACAATAGCCTGCTGATCGCTTCTATTCCCATAGTCAGCTCCCAAATCTACCTGAAGAAATGCAACACCGTTTGATCACTTTGACATTATATCCCAAATTTAATATTTTACACCTTCTTGTTAATAGTTTTCCCTTTAAGAACAGTTTAATTCAGGAATCTTCTCCCACAGCATATTTGAGTTTTGTTTAGTGAAAACACCTCAAAAACTTAATATTATTCAAAAAGATAATATGTCTTTGAACAGTTTTGTTAACTGGCAATATACATTTGCTGCACGTGTATTAAGAATTCTAGGTAAATGTGAAGTCCCAGGAATACATAGGCTGATAAAATGATTCAGGCATACTGACACAATCCTCTCTCACTTGCACATGCTTATTGCAGTTTACAAGTGTTTTGTATTGGTTCAGATTAAGTCACTCTGTAAGGAACCAAAGGTATACAAAATGAAGATAAGAAAGGTCACTCATATATGAAAATAAGAGAGTCTGCACAGGGGACTTTGAAGTGTAAATAAAACAATTTTCTATTGATGATATCTAAATGAATATTTATTTTCTACCTCTTCTATGACTCTCTACTTCTGTCTGTCCTCAGTATGTTAGATCTGCAGCTTCATTTCTACCTCCAGTCATTTGCAGATGATGCAAAACTAGGAGGAGTGGTTGATACTCCAGATAGTTGTGCTGCCATTCGGAGAGACCCCAACAGGCTGGACAAAAGAGTTTACAGGAATTCAGTGACGTTCAAAAAGGGGAAAAGCAAAGTCCTGCACCTGGGGAGGAATAACCTCATGCACCAGCACAGGCTGGGGGGCTGACCAGCTGGAAAGCGACTTGGCAGAAAAGGCCCTCAGGGGTCCTGGTGGACAACAAGTTGACCACGAGCCAACAATGTGTCCTTGCAGCAAAGAAGGCCAATGGCATCCTGGCAGAGCATTGCCAGCATGTCGAGGGAGATGATCCTTCCCCTCTACTCCGAGAGGTTGCATCTGGAGTGCTGCATCCAGGCCTTGACATGGGCATACTGGAGCGAGACCAGTGAAGGGCTACTAAGATGATGAAGGGACTGGAGCATCTCTCATGTCAGGAGATGCTGCGAGAATTGGAACTGCTAAGCCCGGAGAAGAGAAGGCTCAGGAAGGATCTGCTCCATGTGCATAAATGCCTGACGGGGGGAGCAAAGAAGATGGAGCCAAACTCTTCTTAGTGGTGCCCAGTGATGGGACAAGAGGCAATTGGCATATATTGAAATACAGGCAATTCCACTTACACACAAGGAAAAACTTTACTTCTTGTGAGAGTGGTTGAACACCGGAACAGGTTGCCCAGAGAGGCTGTGAAGTCTCCATCCTTGGAGTCAAAATCTGACATGACAAGGCCCTGAGCAACCTGCTCTAGTTGACCCTGCTCTGAGTAGGGGGCTTAGACTAGATGCTGTAACGAGGTTCTTCGAGCCTCAAATGTTCTGTGATTTTACAGTTCTACGTGCTTATCTCAGGAAAAATAAAAAGACAGAACTGCATCCTTCATTTCAAAACAAAATATTTACTTAGACTGCTTTGATATACAACATCATGCTCTTCTTTGAACTAGCATTTCCTATATTGGCCTATCACTGCCTTGGTAAGACCATCTCTTTATATCCCTTCTGTTCCTCACTATAGGATTACTGCAGTTTCCTTCCTGCTTGACTATTCTGCAAGTTTATCCTACAGCTGATTTTAATTCATTTTTTGCTTTAAAATAGTTTCAGTTTATGGTGCTTTTCTCCTCTTCACTGAACCTCATCCCTTCTGCATTTCTCCAGACTTCTACTCACCAGAGGTGTTTTGACGAAGCTGTTGTCATTACAGATTTCATCAAAAATATCGTCTATATTTTCCTCACTGCTGCCAGCACTCATCAATAGCTTAGCTGATCTGAAAAAAAAACAACAAAAATCCCCCTTCATTTTGTAAAGTGACCAATTGCAGTAGTTATAAGAATTTTAGGTAAAGAATAAAATTAATTACAGCTTTTTCTCCTCTAATATTACTGTAGTATCTAAGCAAGGCTGTCCAAATCATGATGGACCAGATCTAGAATGGAGGATGACGCCTTTCCATGCCTGATGATAAGTCTTTTGCCATTTTTTTTTTTTTGCTTTATTTTCAACCATTTTTGCACTGAATAGAACTGGGATAACTGAGGAAGAAATTTGACAGCCCTTATTTTTCACATGGATCTTCAGCATCAGGAATATAGAAAAGTCAGAGGGAGCTTTCTAGCCATGCTACAGAATTTACAATACAATTTAGTACATATTGCTTTGTGCAATTGTTTCCTAATTTGTTCAGACTAATTCAAATATGGAAGTCTCTAGAACACTGAAATAATGCTTCAAATCTGACCTTAAAATTGGTAGACTGGATGCCTCAATCATCCCACTTAATGTGCTCATGCCACAGTTATTGTTCCAGGTGTCCAGCACGCTTTGGTGGAAATGTAGTAGACTTTCACTGACAGTAGATCACCACTGCAAGTGGTACTGTTACAGCCCACAGGGAAGAATTGACAGAACTCCATAACGTTAGCCAATCTTACAAGCAGGCAGTGCTAAAATACTTGGGTAATACATAGAAAAAGTAACAACTGTGTTTGGTGGGGAGGGTCTTTGTTTCTACTATATGCAAATTTGAACCCGTCCCTTAGTATTGCGTTTAGAACAAAAAATAACTAGTGTAACTTATTTTGGAAAACAGTGAATCTGCTCACTAAATGCTGTGCCTCCAGACTGCTGACGCATAGAATTTCCTATTAAAAAACCCTTTTTATTTATTCTTTTTGAGTATACACTTGCATGAGTGTTTGATTTTATTTTATAAGCTAGAAAACCACAGAGCTTTGTTAGCAATTCGGAATGGCAGGCTTATTTCCACTACAGTACGGGACAAGGCTATTCACATATAGTATTACTGGATTAATTACATATTAAAAAAGTTCATCTTTCTTGGCCTATTTGACAGAGTTATGTTAATTCTGATGTTAATGTTGTGTGGAAACGCGTGGTTTTTCTCACCATATACAAAGGCAGAGTGCCATTTAATATACTAGCTGCAAGGCTCTGTGCTATCTTTCCTGTTTCAAAAAGATGATTCAGTGAGTATTTTGACGGATTTGAAGAATCTGAAAGGGCAACGGGGATTGCAAAGACCACGGATCAAACACTCTCAGTGATAGCAGACCTAACTGAGGAAGTAGTGCAGATCAACGTCCTTCACAGAAGCCTCAGAAAGATATTAATAAACACTCGCCAGTGTGATCCTGCAGACAAGAAAGAAACTCAACAAAGGTCAAGGCCGCACTGCTAATGTACTGGCAGAAAGAAGCTGCTTCAAGGGTGATGGTTTGTTTACATTTATAAGATCAGATAATGAAAATATGCATCTTCTACATGATGGACAAATGCTGTCCACGAACAAGTAGAATATGGCCCATTCTTACAAATAGCATCTTTTGGAAAACAGGTTTGAAACAGATGCTTGCATTTACTGATTTACTACTCCTTAGCATAGTACACAGGTCACAGGGTTGTAACCGAATGAGTGGAGGACACGTGATCTGCACTTTGCCATTTTGACTATAATATGATACAACAGCAAAGGCTGTGATAAAAGGGGAAAAAAAAATTTAAAAAGATAGGATAGCTACCTCAGAGATGTTTTGAATTTGAAAACTCAGCATAATCCAGTCAACTGACAGCTGACAAGTAGTTAGCTGCAACACAGGCAAATCATAGCAGTCTCTCTCAAATAAATTTAGGAAGCATAAGCTGAAAATACTTTCATGCAATAATTCTGCAACACTGCAATCCCAGAAAAGAAGAGGTGTATTTTGACAACTGCAAGGGTACCAAAAGAAAACACCAGTCTTGTAAAGCAATTGGTACATCCATGGTAAGGGATTTATTGGCCAAAACACTGCAATGGCCAGTAAGTTTGTAAAAGCCAACTTGACAGAAAGTCTTCTGGTTGTGTACCAACAATGCTTTAACACAATCCAAAAATTCTGAAAAGGAATTCCTGCCAAGCTGTACACATTCAGAGAAATCACCTGCACTTTGCTTTCACTCAAGTGAAGTCTTGTTACTCAAGTCTGCTGTTTGCTAGTTCTTTGTCAAAAAAGGGAGGCCTGTACTACTGCTCCATCAACCCAACATGAACGAATGTACTTCTGAGAGAGAAGAAAACAGCGCGTTCTTTTACATTGTAATTGGATTGATTAAATTTAGCTGTTCTTCTAACCAATATGCAAGTAATGGAGAAGTCCGGTAATGTGGCTGAAGATCGTGGACTTGTTGGTCTCGTATTGATCATGCCGGTCTCTAAGATCCTTGACTGGGAGCCTGGAGTAGCTATGGCGTAGGTGATCAGCAGGTGACCTTTGGAGATACCCGGCCAGCCACCTCCGGGACAGACACCTGACAGTCCGCCCACCTTCATACGAGAGTCTCAGACACTTGTTACAGCTAGAACGGGAATCTGAGGGCATTGAGCAGCAGCTGCTGCTCAGGCAGCACGGCGGGATTGTCAAAACTGAGTGAAACTGTCTGTATTGAGACAGTAACAATCATTTTGAAAGCTATAAAATTTGAACTGGATACAGAAAAGCGTGAAGAGACTAAATTATGTCCTTACGGTTGAAGATATGTTTAACAAGAGTTCTCAGAAGTATCAACAGAACAAAACTTTTGATAATACTATGACTGAAGTTCTTCCTGCTATAAATCAGAAGATTTATATACATATTTATATATCACAAGGTCAGTTATACAGCTAAGGAGCATCAGATTCTGACTCACAAGTACACTAATACAGCTTTTAACGTCACATTTATTATGAGCTTCAGATACTCTTAAGAGATGGATTTATTGTCTTAAGTAACTGAGTTCGCTGGCACACGACTTGAGTGCTTAAAAATAAGCATGAGACGCTCGTTTACCACCGGCCAGCGTTTTACAACAGCCTTTCCTTCACTTTCTTTAGCTCCTTGGCCGACTCGGCCGGACGTCGGCAACGCCGGCCCCGGCCTCCACCCGCCCGGGCGGAGCGCGCCCCCCA